GAACCGGTGGCAGCCTCCTTCGAACCGCCCTCAGCCCGCGGCCGAGGCCCGAGCGTTTGTAAGCGCCTTCCTGAAGAGCAGCATGCCCCGGCGCAAGGCCGCTGCCATCCAGGACTTCCTGACGCGGAAGGCTGTGGTGCTCGAGCACTGCCCCAGGAAAAGGACGAAGCCGAAGAGGAAGAAAACAAAAGGCTTCACGGCCAAGCAGAGGCGAGAGATGCGTCTCTTCGACATCGAGCCCGAGCAGCAGCGGTAAGAGGCTGAGCGCTCCCGCTGCGTGGCGGGGTGGGAGCAGCAGCACACCCGGGGACGTGCAGTTGGTCCGAGACGCTTTCGTGGCTGTTCACATGAGAGAACAGGGCTCCCATCTGTATGGCCGGAAAGCTCCCCTCTGTCTGGTACTGGCTCTCTTTCCTTTTCTGTACCCAAACATAACACGAAACCGAACCCAGACGCAGTCACCTGCGATGTCAGTTTTAAGGTTAGCCTGCCTGTGACCGGAGTCAGCGCTCCGCATCCCCTTCCTCAAACCAACACGCGCTGAACAGAGCCCCTGCCGCTGCCAACGCGAAGCGAGCAGGGAGCTACAGGAGCAGGAGTCTCTTCAGCCTGAGGCACAGCCCTGTGCTCCACAGCACGTCACCGCTTTGGGCCGATAGAGAGGAGCGTCTCTAGTTCGTGCTTCTGTACAAATGCAAGGCTGCTGCTCGGGGGGGGTCACCTCACAGGTTACCTTACAAGAGCAGATTACAAAACCTGTAAACATTAGTCTTAACTCTGTTGTAAATATGGATTACTTCAGCAATCAAAAGATTTTTTGATAATTAAGTTTTGTATAACACTTCTTCTCTTTTTACTGCAGATACGCAATCTTTCTACCACTCCATGAACTCTGGAAACAGTATATCAGAGACCTATGTCACGGACTTAAACCAGATGCGTAAGTCAAGATGCTTTAAAACCAGCGTGGTTTTGATTTAGTAGGTATTTCCAGCTTTACTGATTTACTGCTTGAAACATCACAGTTACTTGGTAAGGATATGTACTATTTCCATAAGCTTTGACCATGAGTTCAGTAGTCACGGTTGCATTTTGTAAACCTAACTTCCCATATAATTTTCTTTCCCTCTTCTTCAAGGCAACCGCAAATGGTTCAGGGCAAACTGCTAAAAGCAGATCTCCATGGAGCTATTGTTACAGGTATTCTGTTTGTTTTCTTTTACAAAATCACTGAAGTTCCAGTAGACACTCCTGTATTTCAGGTAGTTGTTTTTAAGCTCCTTTCAGTATCATTAACTCCTGAATTATGCAGTTGAGATCATATGCTGATGGATTCTTTCTCTACTTACCAATGCTAATTACTTTTCAACTACTCTTGAAAGGCGTGTTGTTAGTTGCAAAGATTAACTGCAAGTTGTAACAGTGATTACTGTAATTGCATTATTTCAGAAAATTGCAAGCCAGATTTTAAAATCATGAAGCAACTGTAGAAGAGCAAAGAAACTGCCTGAACCCGAAATTTTCTAATGCATACATATTTCTGTTCTTTCAGTCACAAAGTCAAAATGCCCCTCTTACGTTGGGATAACAGGAATCATTCTACAGGAATTTAAACATGTCTTCAAAATTATCACTAAAGAGGACAAATTAAAAGGTACGGAAGACATTTTTTTCAGTGCTTTTCATAACTTGAATAATCAGAAATTTCTTACATACATTATTCATCTTACACCTACATTGTTTTGTATCAGTTCTTTGCATGGAGCGGCAGAAGTCAATGTCTTTACTGACCATGCAACAGCCCAATATCTTACCAAAAGTATCTCATTAGAAACAAGCAATTAAAAAAAAAAAAAAGCATTTCCAGTGAACCCAACATGATTATGCACAGGGCTCATTCATCTGGTTTACATTAGACGTTCTCTAAAACATCTAATGCATGCTCCTGAAGAGGAATTACTTTAGTAATACCAGTTTAAAATTTAGAAGTTCTTCTCTTGCTAAAGCATAAACACCTTGAAATCTTGCAAACATCAAATCTAAGTGTGAATAACATCCCCTGGTACATCCGTATATTTTCATTATGGGGACTGACATTAGTCCACTTTCCTTAATTTCCTTCCTTTTGCGTTTTCAGTTGTTCCCAAACTTAACAACGTATTTAGCTTGGAACTTGATGGATTCATTTCCTACATCTATGGAAGCAAGTTCCAGCTTAGAGCAAGCGAGCGATCTGCAAAAAAGTTCAAGTTGAAAGGAACTATTGACCTGTGATTTCAATGGAAAACCAGAAGTATTAATAGAAACGTCTGCTGTTTTCCTGCAGTTTAAAGACCGGGTTTTCTGGCAGATTGAAAATGGAATAGCTATGTGAAATACCAAGAATGACTAGTATCTGTTGTCTTCAAAGCAGTCTCTCAGACTGTCGGAGTTTGCTGTATCTGCTTTGTTATTTGTATATAACGTTGTGGCTTTTATTAAACTTACATGATCAGTACTGATTGCCTGACTTGTGTTTCAATTTATAATCATAAATTTGCACAGTGAAAATTACATCTTGTAACTCGGTGGTAAATGTTGTTGTTGCTTTCTGTATAAACTGGGCTTTATCTGCCTATTACATGCTAACAGTGAGCCTGCAGGTGATGACAACTGCCCTTTTATAATCATTGCTTCTGGGCCAACATCACCATCTCTGCCTGGTGCAAGCATACGCAACCAAGTTGTTTCAAGTAATAGGTTTTACCCCGAGTGTCTCCCTCCCTGTGCTCAGTATTGTTACAGATAACACGTATGAGTGAAAATACAAACACACAGTGCAGCCCTGCAAGCTGTTTGCTTACCAGGTGCTTACTAATAACATTGTACTTTAAGGTTAAATCCGATACTGTCTATATTAGCCTAGACATTCAAAGATGGAAGTGACCCCCATTCAATCTCGTACTTAAATTACCCAAAAAATTGCTTTATGAGTATTTAACCTCCATTCATAGAACTTTAGCCTATTTTTACGTATATTTAGAGATAGTGTCTATGTTATACAGTTAAAATATACCTTTATTCTTACTAAAATATACGTGTTACACAATTTAAAAAAGGCTAGTGTAAATGGTACTGACTTTGTATCACTTGTTTGTGAGCACTGCATCACTGGAACACAAGAAGTCAGGTAGCTTCATGGTGTAAGTCTCTAAACTCAACAACCACCCTTAATACAGCACTACTTGTGAAGAAGCTCATGTGTTTAAACCTTTTGTAAATACTTGCTTTTTGCAGCAGTCTGCAACAGTGGTTGTAATGGAGACCTCCTGCTTGTACCAGTGGAAACTTGTGCAGCTTTGAGTGCATGCGATGCATGTGTCCTCAGCCCCTTTTTATCTCCTTTTTTTCACTATATACTTCCAGGAGCCTTTTTTTGACTGCCCAGATTACAGCCTCTCATTGACTAAGCCGGTTTGACTTGTTTGGAAGATGGAAGCAACCCCTGTATTTAGATCACTTAACATTTTTCTATTATAAAAGAGCCTCTGTGGTGTTTGTGTTATAAAGGTAGCTTTCAGAAGCTTTCAATTAAATTATTAATTCAATTTCAGGATCAAATGAAAGACCCATATCTAGGAAGAGTTTTTGCCTGCCACCATGCAAGTGTTTGTAGCCAACCAGGGTCATTTCTTTAAAGAGAACATAGCTGTCCCTCACATTCGCTACACGCCACAGCCCAGTCCTGGAGCTAGGACAGCCCCAGCTAGAGCTCCTAACTGCATCGCAGGCCACACAAGCCGTTCGGCTGCCATGAGCAAACCAGAGCATCACCGCCTCCGACCCTCCCCAGCCCTGTGCCAGTTGTCAGCCTGCAAAGCACCCAGCTCCTTCCCAGACCTGCTGCTGGGAGAGGTTACAGGAGAGCTGCACCTCCTCGCCACCATCCCTCAGGCACAAACCAGATCCAGCATCGCTGAACCACACACCCCAATCAGCTGAACTCACAGCCTGGGCGATACTGGTTTTCGAGAAGAACAGACTGCTTTTCTGCCCCTTTTGAAGTCAGGAAATAAAGCAGTTGGTATGGAAATAAATCTTTGTCGCAATTATATGCAGTACTGCCCTTGAGATGGGGAAAACAGTGTTTTTGCTAGAGATGTATGTTTTATACAGGGAAATACAGTTATTTCACACCAACGGGAAACTAGAAGAAAGAAACACTGGGAAAGCTTTTGAAGGTACGGATAAACACACTTGAAAGTGCCAAAGAGTAGAAGTTTTTTTCAATTGTTTGTATCTGTGAAGTAAGAACAAGATGTATTAAAAGTCATTAGCCCCAAGTTATTACTCTACCTAGTACCCATTACTCCTCTCAGTGGTCTCTGAAATTAAATCCCTTAGTTTCCTGTGAGAGGTCAGAAGGAAAAATAAATAAAGTGAGAGAACGCATAAATCACAGCAGAAACTTTCCTTTCAGGACAATGACCTAATTTTAATTTTGCTCATAACCTTCAGTGTAACATCTAATTAAGACATCTGTTAAATGCCTATAATATTAAATTAATAGGGCAAGCTAATAGAACTTTATTGCCATAGTCCGGTTAATTAACATTAAGGGCCTTTAATGGATGTCTTAAATAGACATCATTAATGGGAATGCCATCCAAATTGGAATTAGGCACAGTCATGTTTAACTGTGCTGTGAAGGACATACCATATTCTACCATACGGACACACAGATGAACATGATATAACTTCCCATAGCTACTGGCATTCCCATTTGTTAAACTATTTCAGCAACCGAAAAAGACAAATGCTGCCTAGCAGTCCCTTTCGATAAATAACAGCAAGGCATTCATTATTTACAGCAAAGAGTGTGGAAGAGATGTCCAGAGGTCTCCTCAAGGTAATCACATGCTAGTAGCGCAGAAAGGCAGATGACAAGAGTAACAAGAGCGCTGAACAGCCGACACATCGAAGACGCCTTTACTGCAGTTGGTAAATCACCTGAAGAGGCCTTTTTTTGTAATGACTCACCGAGGTGTTCCAAACAGCCCCCACAAATTGCTTAAGCTAAATCACTCCTGCAGACCGCTGGTATCGCTGTCGGCCCATCAGCTCCTTGAACCAAACCCCCGTCCCGTCTGCTTTCTCCAGAACACAGCTCTCTGTTCATCTTTCATCAGAACACACTAAACTCCCCATTGCTTGCGAGAGAACTTCCTTAGAAGCTGGGTAAGGTGAAAATGACTGCTCACCAGTCCTCCCCTGCTGATTCGTGACAATTCCCCTCTCTTCATTAGCTGAGACGGTAAATACTTAATGGATTTAATATCAGAAAATTGGAGAAGTAATCACAGCTGTCTCTAATATGCCTCTTCCTTCGCATGTGCAAGTGTGAATTGCATGCAGCAGAGACACATTTTTTGTTGTGATTTTTATACCTTAACTGTCACTAAAGAAAAGGCTAACCAGGGAATAATTAACAACAATGAACAATATACTGTCTCACTATGTTACACACATTTCTGCTTTCCTATTACTACGTATGTATATTTATAACCAATCTGAACTGAAACAATCGTAAACAATCCAGTTACTGAATTTTGAAAATTTAAGCAATAGGAAAACAAACAAACAAAAATTCCCATAAATGATGTTTGAAACCTCAAAATAATTCATTGTACGAAATGCTTGAAGTTAAAGCCAAGTCACATCCAAGAAAACACACAGAATTTTCTACTTGAGGGTTTTTTTATACTTTCTCTAAAAGACAGATTACACAGCAATACAATGGAAACCCCCCAAAATCTCCTGGAACTCTCCTTGGGAAACTCATATTAAACCACTGAACTCACAGCAGCACTCAGCTTACGTTAACTCTATATATTCAAGCCATCCAATGTTTTCAAGAAGCCTAAGAGAGAGTATAAAATTCTGATCTGGACCAGAGCCTTTTTGAATGAATTCTCAAGTCTTGGACAAGTTCGTCCCTCTGGCAGACTCTCTCGTCCAGTTTAGTACCTGAGCTACCAGTATACTGAATACCAGTATTTCAGATCTGGGAGGACTTCCGTCAATACAAGAGGTTAGAAATAATTTCTAAGCCTTTTACAACCCTTGACCAAGCAACTCTTGTGAAACAAACCTTAAAATAATCTGGAACAACAGCACATGTTGTTCAGTAAGTAACTGCATTTTGCAAAGGAGAAATCCCGGCAACGGCAACTAGTATTTTTCACTAGAACAATGCTGCTATTGAACTGCAAAAGAAAAGGACAGGATATGGCTATGCCAGGTATGTACATAAAAGGTAGACAAACTGGCTTAGCTATTTGCACTACAATTTGCAAATCCTAGGTTTAGAAACCTCAACTAGAAACACTGGTTGGCAAAAATGTCATAGGGTGAGAAACCATACAGAAGAACAAAAAACAGAGTGAGCTGGGGTTCAGACTGAGGTAACAAGGGGAAGGAGAATCAGTTTGGTAGGGAAAACAAATCCCACAGAGAAAAGCTGCAGGTATTCATTGGCATAACACTGGTAATTCTGTGCATTGTCTGCAGGCTTCCACTTTTTTAGGGAATAAGATACTCCAATTGTGCTACAGATTGCATGTGTCACACACTAACCAACTGGGGGCTATCGGTCCTTCTCCACATTGGCTCTTTACCTTTGCTATTTAGAAAGCTTTTATAAAAGATTTGGAGATAACCTTCACCACTCTACAAATAAATACAAAGCAGTCCTTGAGAAGTGACAAAAGGCATAGCATACCCTCCAAAAATTATCAAAATTTTTCACTTTCCGAGGAAAATCGGTGTTCTTTTGCATTTGACAGCATGACTGGGAAATGCTGAGCTTGCAACAGAGCTCTTGCAGCAGCCCAGGCTCACACTCTGCCAGGTGTTCTGTTGGTGTGCATGTGCCAAAGCACCAGCACACACCGCAGGGCTACTGACAGGTTTGCCATCAAGTGACTGACATTTTTGCTTACAAGTCCCTTACTACATAGCATCCTTTACCTCATATAACCAGAACATTATTTTTTTTCTACACCTCCATCTACTCCTTTTGAAATTCATTTAAAACACAGCTGTGATGTTGGGCAGGTCCCACTGCACTGCATTAGACCTGAGACACCATCTTGCTCCTCTGCATCAGCAGCATGTTTTCAGGAAACAGGAGCAGTGTCTTCTCAAAACCAGGGCAGCACTGCTGTTATCTAAGCAGGGCAATTCCTCAGCCCCTTACCAGAGCAGTTACACATGCCCATTTCCCAGTCACAAGTCACAAAAACATACACAGACAGGTTTTCTAACTAACAAAAAGTTCTTGCCCCCTAGCTCCTGCTGTTTGTACCCCTCCCTCATCACACA